GTAAACTATTTGTTTTGGTCTCATGTTTATAATGATGAGCTACCATGTTTTGCAAAACTGATGTGTATTGATTATTGGAACCATGTGTGTATTTAGTCCAGGGAAATTATTCCACTGTGTGTGGTGACTCTGGCCACTAGGGAACAGATCCGGGTTGGGCCGTGATGACTCTAGTGCTCAACGATTGTAAGGAAAAGACTTTTAAAAACAACTAGGTGACCTTCAATCAGATCGTCTTTGAGAAAAGGCCCAGGTGCCACCCTGAGGATGACTCTTAGTTCGATGTTGGATCCAACGGGACTTATAGCCTTGAGAACTGTGTGGCATATTATTTGTTTTTATTGGTACCCAGAAAATTATTGGTGTTCATGTTATAATCTGTTTTAAGTGGAAAATGTCGTTTATCATGTTCTTGCGAGACATGAGTATTTTAAGTGTTGAATTGTGGAACCTTCTTTTTGAAACAAATTGTATTTACCAAACTGTATGCCAATCTAGTTTCTGTGATATATATCTCATTTTGGAATTGAACCCTGTTTTCAAAACTGTATTTACTATCCATATTGCTACTCACTGAGCTATCAGCTGACTTAGTTGTTTACCATTTCCAGGTATTAGAAGGACTTAGAGTGGACTCATGGCGTAGCGGGGACTCAATTGCATGGACCTCTAGGGCATTTATTTTATTTGTTTTAGGTTGCTTTGTCGAGTTTTGTGCATACATTGTGGTTGGATTTTATTTAGAATTATTTTATTTTGTGGGGGGTTTGTGTCCCATTTAGTATATATATGTTTTTAGGAAGTTGCTTATGACTGGTTTTTCACTTGTGGTATGTCACTGGATTGAGTGTTGATTTATTTATTTCTGGCCTATCATCACATTTATTCTTTATGGTTTTGGGTTCATGTTTAGGCTTACGTGTGCCTTGGGCTAAGTCCCTGTGGGCCACGGCCGGTCATGCCCGGATTTGGGGTGTGACATTCTCTCTAAGCCTTTGGCTTGGTCTTTATTTCATCGTTTATCTACCAAGCTGAGCATGTTTGATCTCTATGTTCCAGCTTGAGGGAGAGTGTTAGAATAGTTATTATTTTCTATTTTATTGTTTTTCTGTTAATATTTATTTTAAGTTGAGGGTACGATGGTCATATCCCTAGGTTAGGGTTTGTATATATATTTTGTTGATGTAATTAATAGATTCATTCTAGATATACATAAAAAAAAACAAAAATAAATAAAAAATTCTCTCTTCTCTTATCTCTTCTTCTTCCACCTAAACCCCGACCCTAAATTGCTTCACTATACATTCTAACTTTAATCATTTGAAAAACAAGATATATATCTTTAAGAACTTGATGATTCACAAAAACAACATAACCAAATTCACTTTTCACTAGGAGCTAACATGTACTAAATATTGAATCTAAATAGAATCAGCAATATTTTGGTTTGCAAATGTATCTAAATATTGAGAAAAATGTAAACTTGATTAGAAACATTTTTTGGTACAGAGGGCATTCTTTCTAGTGGGTGTTAGAGAAAAATGGGGTGACAACATATTACATTGATGTAATTAGGGACATGTATGACGGTGTGATGACTACTATTAGATCACCTGCTGGAGAGACAAATGAATTTCCAATTATTGTAAGGTTACACCAAGGATCAACCTTAAGTCCTTATCTTTTTGCTTTAGTTATAGATGAGTTGACAAGAAATATTCAGGATGATGTGCTGTAGTGTATGCTTTTTGTAGATGATATCGTGTTAGTAGATAAGACTAGAGAATGAGTTCACACTAAGTTGGAGACTTGGAGAGAAGCACTTAAATGTAAAGGATTTAGGATAAGCCGAACTAAGATAGAGTTCATGGAGTGTAATTTTAGTAACAATAACAATGGAAGTAGAGAAGTGAAGATTGAGAACCAAGAACTACTTAATAGTGAACATTTTCGTTATTTAGGATAGATTATCACAACGGCTGGGGAGATTAGAGCGGATATAGTCCATGGAATTAAAGCGGGGTGGTTTAAGTGGAGGAGCGCATCTGGAGTACTCTGCGATAAACGAGTACCCACTAGACCAAAAGGAAAGTTCTATAGAACGGCTATTAGACCAGCGATATTGTATGGGACGGAATGTTGGACAACTAAGAAACAACATGTAGATAAGACCATGGCTCATACTGCTTTTGAGATGCTCTGGGTTCAGTATTTTCTCTAGGATTTTGGTTTTTTCTGTTCCCACTCCTATGCGCATGTCTTGTGATAATTAGACGACTATCTTTATTGCCAACAATCTAGTGTTTCATGAATGAACCAAACATATAGAAGTTGATTGCTATTTCATTCGTGATCTCTTACTTTGCAAGCAACTTGTGACTCCTTATGTTCGTCCTGAAGATCAATTGGGTGATATTCTCTCTAAGCCTTTGGCTTGGTCTTTATTTCATCGTTTATCTACCAAGCTGGGCATGTTTGATCTCTATGTTCCAGCTTAAGGGAGAGTGTTAGAATAGTTATTATTTTCTATTTTATTGTTTTTCTGTTAATATTTACTTTAAGTTGAGGGTACGATGGTCATATCACTAGGTTAGGGTTTGTATATATATTTTGTTGATGTAATCAATAGATTCATTCTAGATATATATAAAAAAAACAAAAATAAATAAAAAATTCTCTATTCTCTTATCTCTTCTTCTTCCACCTAAACCCAGACCCTAAATTGCTTCACTATACATTCTAACTTTAATCATTTGAAAAACAAGATATATATCTTTAAGAACTTGATGATTCACAAAAACAACATAACCAAATTCACTTTTCACTAGGAGCTAACATGTACTAAATATTGAATCTAAATAGAATCAGCAATATTTTGGTTTGCAAATGTATCTAAATATTGAGAAAAATGTAAACTTGATTAGAAACATTTTTTGATACAGAGGGCATTCTTTCTGGTGGGTGTTAGAGAAGAATGGGGTGACAACATATTACATTGATGTAATTAGGGACATGTATGACGGTGTGATGACCACTATTAGATCACCTGCTGGAGAGACAAATGAATTTCCAATTATTGTAAGGTTACACCAAGGATCAACCTTAAGTCCTTATCTTTTTGCTTTAGTTATAGATGAGTTGACAAGAAATATTCAGGATGATGTGCTGTAGTGTATGCTTTTTGTAGATGATATCGTGTTAGTAGATAAGACTAGAGAATGAGTTCACACTAAGTTGGAGACTTGGAGAGAAGCACTTAAATGTAAAGGATTTAGGATAAGCCGAACTAAGATAGAGTTCATGGAGTGTAATTTTAGTAACAATAACAATGGAAGTAGAGAAGTGAAGATTGAGAACCAAGAACTACTTAATAGTGAACATTTTCGTTATTTAGGATAGATTATCACAACGGCTGGGGAGATTAGAGCGGATATAGTCCATGGAATTAAGGCGGGGTGGTTTAAGTGGAGGAGCGCGTCTGGAGTACTGTGTGATAAACGAGTACCCACTAGACTAAAAGGAAAGTCCTATAGAATGGCTATTAGACCAGCGACATTGTATGGGACGGAATGTTGGGCAACTAAGAAACAACATGCAGATAAGATGAGTGTTGCTGAAATGAAGATGTTAAGGTGGATGTATGGCAAGACTAAGAAAGACAGAATTAGGAATGAGTATATTTGATAATGGGTAGGAGTAGTATCGATAAAAAATAAGTTGAGAAAGAATAGATTGAGATGGTTTGGGCATATACAATGGAGACCAACAGAGGCAATAGTGAAGAGATATGATGTAGTGACGTGGGGACGAGGTAGACCTAGATTGACGTGGGCTAGAGTAGTAAATAGAAATATAAATCTCCTTAATTTGACTAACGATATGACCTTTGATAGAGTCGAGTATAACCGACCCCATTTGATGGGACTTAACATGGCATTCTTTTTGCAACACGAGGATGTGCTTTCTATAGATGAAAAGAAATTATCTACAAATACAAAGGTTCAAATTTCAAAGAAGCAAATTATATTCTAATAGAACAAACAAACAAACAATAATTTTTTTTTTGGCCCATGTAGATAACAAAAAAATTATGGCTAGATTTATATAAGAACAAAAATTGGGGCTGCATTTTATACTTCGTTCTACGCCTTAGAGAATATAGAAAACGTAAAAATATATTAAGTGGAACTCATGGTATTTGAGCAGCCATATCCACATATTACATATAAGTCATAAAGTTAGTCCTATATAACCATCCAAGTCATCCACATTCCAGTAGGTTAGAGCATCCCATTCAGGGCTTTCAAAGAAAGCAAGATTTCACATTAATCAGCAAAAAAAAGAAGCAAGATTTCACCATTAATTATAACTTAAAAAACTTTGTTTATTATCAACTACTCCCACCTCACACCTATCCACACACACATGCAAACATACATACCAAGAAAACAAAAACAAAAACCACCCAAATAAAAAAAAGAAAAGAAAAGAAAACTATTTATCAAAAAAAGAATACAAAACAAATAAAGCATACTATGAAGCACAAACACCTCCTCGGAGGTCATATACAGGTGTTGATACGCTGGAAAGCGTCGGACATGCTGGGACACTTGGGACACGTTGTGGACACGTTGGGACACGCTAAGTACACATTAAGAACACTCTGAGAACACGTTAGGGACACGCTGAGGACACTCTAAGAACACGTTGAGGATTATTTTTTTCAAAAAAAAAAAAAAAAAGATTTAATTTTGTTTATTAAAAAAACATATCTAAGGTTGATAAATTTGATAAATTAAATATTTGACATAAAATACATACTAAATATTTAAAAATATAACATATAACAAATGTAAAAAATTATATGTTTTGCACGTGTCCCCAATGTGTTGTGTCCTGTAGTTTTTGAAAATTTGTATGTTTGCGTGTTAGTGTCATGTCATGTGTCCGTGTATGTGCTTCTTAGAGCATACCCATTTCCTATTTCAAACAAAACATACCTGCTAACTTTTCAAAGTAACCAAGGCTGCAAGCAAGAGAGTTCCATGCACTTGCAAGGGCATAGTTGTGTCCTATGACAAAACATCCAAAAAAGGTAAGAGAATTTGGTTAATAAAATTAGCAACCAAGCTCAAGCTCTTTTAAAGAAAAACACAAGTAAAGGACCAAAGTTTATGATTTCATTAGTTATTATTGTAAAGTCTTAGCTACTCTATCTGTTAAAAGACGACATAATTTCTTAAAAGGTTTCAAAAGATAACATGAAGTTATAGACAACTTGTAACGCCCCAAAAATTATAAACCTTTATATAGTCAATTTTTAATTAATTATTCACCGGTTTCCATCAAATAAATCCATTTCTCATAAGATAATGCTTTAAGAAAAATATTATCTCTCATTAAGTAAATCTCATTCTCATTGAACTATATTAAACTATTACATCTTACGTTCACGATACAAGTTATAGTTCACAAAATTAAAGAAATCAAAAGTAAAGGTGCCCTAATGGCGTACAAGTTTTAAGGGAAACCCCTTGGTTACGCAAAAGGTTGGACATTCAGTCCAAGCACACATTAGCTCGGAGCTTCAACAAATAACATCCAATGAGCCCACGTGCTCCATTCAAAATTTTCACTGCCTTGTCACTTGGGTGGAGTCACACCATCAATTCCTAAAATGTTGTTAGTTGGGGTGAGCTAATGCCCAGTAGGAAATACTATTAACAAGACATATAAATAATCGAGATGCATATAATCATGCCATGCACTTGTTAGGATGAAATCCATATTTTCTCTTTTAAAACCAAAAATGTTCAATGCATGATTTACATTCAAAGTCTCGTCTACAAACATGGGGTGGTAAATACGCTATGACGTCCCAAGCAAGAGCTGCAAAACCATACATACATATATAGATTTATAAACAAAAAATATTCCCACATTTGCCAACTCTAAAAACGGCAGGGCGATAGGTACCCAAAACCTTCCCTCTTTGCTTTCCTAAAATGGCGGGCTTATGGGCAACCAAAATCCAGCTTTTCCACATTCACTGACTCTATAAACGGCAGGCTCGTGGACACCCAAAATCAAGTTTTTCCACATTCGCCGACTCTATAAACGGCAAGCTCGTAGACACCCAAAAACCTTTCCCACATTCGTCTGGCGATATGCACAAGACAGGGCAATTGGGGACCTTAACTCTCGCGCGGGTACCACATACAACACAGAACCCATTACCAAAACCCGACTCAACTACCTAGACTCATATGCTATTTACCCCCCCTTCTAATACTTTCCAATCATCCACAAAATTTTAGGATCACAAGAGAAATTATGATGCACATGATGCAAGAGTTTTCAATAAATTTTCTCTAAGATTTGTTTAATCCACAACAACATTAATAATATCAACAACCAAAAGATTTCTCCAATCTCAACATTTATCAATCTCAATACATATACTTAGAGCTTCAAAAATCTCATATCTTAACACCATTTCCATAATCCTTCACCCAATTTTAAGATTTAAGAGTCAATTTGGCCAAACCCATTATTAAATCAAATTTGAAGACTAGGGTTTTTGAAAAAATTGGGCTTTTCCCTCCTTTACACATAAGGAGTCAATATTCACCATTTCTAACAATAATCAAGAAGGATATGCATAAACTTTTCCAAAATATGGAGGAAAACCCCTTGTTATTCAACAAACCCACTTTTTATCACAAAATCATCTCATACATTATTATAACTAAGAAAATATCACATATATATCTCAAATCACAAATATATCAAGTTAAAAGTACCCCTACCTCAAGAATGAAGACAAGAAGATGCAAACCTAAAGAAAAACCTTGAAGAAATCGCAATCTAATCAGTTAAAATGTTGATCTTCTCTTGTTCTTCACCTTTACTACAAGATCTATGGTGGATTCTTGGTGAAAAATGGATGAAATCAAGATTTGGAGGTCTAGGGTTTTGGGTATGGAGGAAAGGGAGAGAAGAAAGGAAAAAAGAATGAAAAGTGTGGGCCAAAAGTGACTTTAAAGTGCCAGATTTCAAACAGACCACTCGAGTGGTCAAAGCTTGGCTCGAGCAGTGAAAGAAAGTTCCTAGAATCTCTAAAATTCGCAAAAAACCGCTCGAGCGGTCAAAAGTTTGCTTGAGCGGACTTACTTCTAACACAATTACTCAAATTTCAAATGGGCATAACTCCGTCATTCGGACTCCATTTTTGGTCGTTCTTGTGTCTAAATCAAAGTCCCGTAATGAGCTTTCCAATGGTTCTAGCCTCACATTCAGATTCAAAGTGTGGAAAGAAAAAAAGGCAAAAGAGTGAAGACTGCTCATAGGACAATTATCTGAATCAATGTTTTTGGTTCAATCCTACTTTACCATTATGATACCACCTCAATCAATATTCCAAGATGAACCAAAGAGGCTCCAAGTACAATAATAAGAGTGTCGAGCAATCCTACTAGTACAATAATAAGAGTCTCAAAGTGTTACACAACTTGGCAGCGATACTTGTCTATTTTTCCATAATGCCATTTTTGAAAGCATTATACAACATGCTTTCCAATGATTTTAGCCTCACATTCAGATTCAAAGTGTGGAAAGAAAAAAAGGCAAAAGAGTGAAGACTGCTCATAGGACAATTATCTGAATCAATGTTTTTGGTTCAATCCTACTTTACCATTATGATACCACCTCAATCAATATTCCAAGATGAACCAAAGAGGCTCCAAGTACAATAATAAGAGTGTCAAGAGCAATCCCACTAGTACAATAATAAGAGTCTCAAAGTGTTACACAACTTGGCATCGATACTTGTCTGTTTTTCCATAATGCCATTTTTGAAAGCATTATACAAGGTTTCTTTGTAATTGTAGCTACAATAAGATTTGGAAGTTGATATTCTACCTTGCATTTTTAGCACAAAAATTGATTTTTTGATCAATGAATGGCAAATATAGGAATAGAAGTTAGACGAATACAAACAAGGAGCAACGGCTTCCTAATTTGGCACCAAGCTAGAAAATGGTAAATGACAATGACTTCAATTTATATATATATATATATAATATCTAACAATCTAGCAGAATAAATATATCTAAAGGGAAAGTCTCTCGTTCTAAACATTTTTTACCATGTCATGTTTTGGAGTTTGCTAAAAGAATTCCGGAGTGACAAAGTAACCACGGATTTCTCTTCAGTGTATAAGATGTTGGTCTTCGGTCAACCCCATTATCTGGAAAAGAAACCCATTTTTATCAAAGATTTAGAGGCCATTTATTACTATTAAACAAATTTCCCCTTTTGATTTCTTCTTTTTCTTTGTCATATCGCCCACTCCCCAACAAGTTTAAACAAATCAACATGTAATTTTGAAGAAGAAAAAAAACTCAATAAGAATACATTAAACAAAAAGTGTGTTGTAGGCCAAACTAGGTGGCTTCATAATTGTCAAATGTTGTCTAGCATGCAAGGAGAAAGGTTTAAAAACACAACGTGATATTATACAAAGTTTAGCTTCTTGTAAAGGCGTGGAAGTCTAAATTATCAGAAGTCTTGCCTAAGTGTGTGTCTTAGGGAGGATTTTCAATTGTGGTCTGTGGAAAGAAATTCCTTGTCAATTTGCTTGATATATCTCTTATTCCTTTATCATATACGAGATTTTTCACCGTGACTAGATAAAAGTAAATCAATATATTCAATAAAAAACCTCATGACATTTCTATAATTCATAAAATAGCAACCCATTCCATTTAAAGTTGTAGTTTTCTACAAAGACAAGAAGCCTTAATTTAAATCAGAGCATCCAAAGTACCTTGAGAAGAGCGCGCAAAATCTTGCAATGCAGTGTAGGCAATGATTATGAATACATCCAAAAGTTTGTTTCCACGACAACAAGCCCTTTAGAACAAAAAGGTAATAACAAAAGTAGTTAGTAGATTTCGCGATTTAAACTGTCCACATATCCTTCCTATTAATTTCTTCACAAAACACTCAGAAAATACAGAAAAATATATTTCACAATTGGAAACTGTTAGAACAATCTTCTGTGTACAATAAGAAAAACAGAAACGAATCAAACAAATAAAATAAATTTTCTTACAGAATTTATGTACCGAAAATAGATTTAACAAAGTTGATAATCAAGTTGAGTGTATGACACTTTGTCCTTGAGATAGATTCGCCGCCGTACAAGTGCTTGCGGTATGATGGCATCAATCTCCCAAGATACAATGATCTTCGCAATATTGAAGCAGCACTACACTCAATTCTGCACAGCAAATCAAAACCTATGTTCTGTAACTCTCTTAATTCTCTCAAAAACTAATATGAAGAATACTGCAAGAGAGGACAAAAAACAGGATAGAACTGAATTAATAAATTTTGGAAATGGGTTGCCTTTATATAGGCTGTTAGAAACCTGTTCGGAGAGGTCTGAACCAATGCAACAATGGCAAAGGGTTGCCATTGAAAACTTTTTGTTTAAATCTAAACAGACACACCTGTTCAAGAAGAAGAAGAAGAAATAAAACTGGAGGGAAATTTGAAAAATATAATTAAAACATTCTCTGCAAAAAGTATATACACAAATATCTTTTGACCCAACGCACGACCTTGACCCAACCCGGATCTGAGCCAGTGGGTATGGTGGTCACCAGTTAGGGTTACCTTTGTCTAGGTCCTCCCCCTCTACAAAACTTGGGTGTCCTTAGGGCCCAAGCCCCTCTAGGAACCCACCAACATGAGTCATTTCCAATGGCTCACTTTGGCGTCGATTTCTCATTCACCCATAAAATGGTTTTCACCAACCAAATACATAATATTTATCTTCACATAGCTATGAACAACTTTGCCTTTGGATCGACCAAAAATAATAAGTGGGTTCCACTTAATTTTGGCTCCAAATTTAGCAAAACCTCATGGTTATAAACCATTTTCCCAACAGAAACATGTTTTTGCTGAACAAGAGTCGCCACCTTGAGCTATGTATTGTTATAACCTTGTAAGTAATCAGCCACGTACCTAGCAAAAAACCCAATCATTGTGATTGTTCCAAATACTCCAGCAAATGAAAAAAGAATAATCCCAAAGGCGATACAGCCATCTGTTGGCTAAACTCCTAGATCAAGAATAGAAAATTTTAAGCAGGGCATAGTTAGAACAGAGTAAAGAGGGCTAAAAGACCAAACTTCAGCAGCAAAAGGGAAACAACAGTCATTGAATTGAATTAATTTGCACCTCCTCAACTTTGATTGAACAGGGAGGATGTTCGAACATGTTTTCCGTGCAAAGATTTTCACTTTATTCAGAATTTTCAGCAACCAAATCTTTTTTGAAAATGCCCTTTCAAAACTCCCAGCATCTGACCTGACCTGTGTTTCTCTACTTCACAAAACCATCTCCAAATGATATGCCAACTAAACAGAAAAAAAGGCCATTTTTAGTAAAGCGCCAAACCAGTATATCATAAGCAAGCCTTGGGCAAAGAGGGATTTTACATATCAACTCAACTTCAAAATCCAAAAAAAGCACTGTCTGATGAAAACTTCATAAATGAGAGAGCAAACCTTAGCATCAGCATGCAGGAATTTTGCAACAGAAATAGTTTTGTAAGAGTAAGGCCTTGGAATCCATATATTTTTCCAAATCTTCATAGACCTTCCATTCCCAATATGCCAGTGCAGTACAACCTCCAAAAAAGACTTTGCACTCTAAATACTCCTCTAAACAATGTCAATGGGTTACTCCTCAAACTAGCTTCAAGAAAATTTGAATTTGGATAGTAAGCAACTGCCAACCTTGCTTAGCTCAAAGAGCTTTATTAAAATCCCATCCCACCAAGCTAAGCAGCCAAAAAGCAACTATGTACAATTTCTCTCTTCTCTGCTTGTTTCTTTCCTTTTCCGTGCTTTCTATTGCCTTTGATCACGTGGGAATTCTCAGATGTGCACTAGTATTTCTGCCTTCTTTGCCATCTACCTGGAATCTTTCCATAACAAACCCCCATATTCTCCAGCAAAGTTGCAAGCATCCTCAAAAACTTACTGCAAGATATGGAAACAAATCCATAAGTTGATAAGATGTTTGAAGTAATATACATGAACACAATTGTAGTGGAAATGAGTTATATCCTAGAAGGCAAGCAAATTTGCTTAACAAAAAATAAATTGAAATTGCAACCAAGCTCAAGCTCTTTTAAAGGAAACCACAAGTAAAGGGCCAAATTTTATCATTTCATTAACTATCATTACTTGGAAGTCCTTTCATTTTTTTTAGCTTAATTATTTCATGTTTTACCTGTTAGAGTAGCTAAGAAAAAGTTTGGTCTCAAAAGATAAGATTAAAAATTACAAAGAAGTAGGAATTAATACTTGCATCTTCTGTTGTAATACCATTTTTGAAAGCATTATACAAGTTTTCTTTTGTAAATTCAGAAACAGTATGAGATTTGGAAGCTGATATTCTACCCTACATTTTCAAGCCAAAACTGATCCCTTCATTGATGAATGACAAGCTTATCCCTTCGCTGATGAATAGCATTTAGGGAAATACAAACTATAAGCAATATCTTCCTAATGTGGCACCAAGCTTGTACAGTGTAATCGACTATTTTTTAAATATCCTATGATCTAGTAGAATAAAGATATCTAAAGCTAAGACTCTCATTCCAAACATTTTTTAATATTTCATGTTTTGGAGTTTGCCGGAAGATTTTTGGAGTGGCAAAGTAGCGAGGATTTCTCTCTAGTGTCTGCTAAGACACTTCAGTCTTTGGTCAACCCCATCCGAAAAAGAACCTGATTTTATCAAACATTAGAGAACTATTTGTTATTATTAGATGAACTTCCCTTTATGTTTTATTCTTATTGTTTTCCATATTGCCCACTTCATGACAAGTCTAAACAAATCAACATGTAAATTTAAACAAACAAACACAAAAACTCTATACGGTATACCAATTTCTAATAGTTTCCTATATTTTTTCAAATATTTGCCCAGTATTTGAATTCTAAATAATACTCCAAGTAGGGTAGATGGCTTCTCAACTCCCATTTAATAAAGGAAGCCTAAATCCCTCCAACTACTAGAACAGATTGCGCACATGGATTTTGACAAGATTACATGTGGCTTTGTAACTGTCAAATGTAGTCCAGCATGCAAGTAGGATGGTTAAAAAATACAACTTGATATTAAAAAAATTTCCCTTCTTGCAAAGCATGGAAGTCTTAATGATCAAAAGTCTTGCATGACAATGTGCAGTAGGGAGGCGTTTACAATTGTAGTCTCAGGAAAGGACTTTATTCTCAATTTTCTTCATATATTTCTTACTCCTTTGTTACTTATGAGAGCTTTTGCCATGACTGGACAATAGTATATGAATATATTCTGAAAAGAAATTTAAAAAAAAAAAAAAAAAAACTCATGACAACTCAAACTCAAAAAATAGTGACCTATTGAATTCAAAATTGTAGCTCTCTCCAAAGCCAAAAAGCATTGAGTTAAATCAGAGCAGCCAAAGTCTTTACCAAGCATAATTCTGGCATACCTTGAAAAGAGGCACAAAATCTTGAAATGCAGCTTAGACAGTAAGTATGAATACATCCTAAAGTTTGTTTCCACAACAACAAAGCCCTGGAGAACAAAAGGGTGATAACAACAATAGTTAGTGGGTTTCACCATTTAAACCGTCCACAAAGGCTGCGTTTGGTTTAGTTTTGAAAGATAAAATTGAAAAGAGTTTTCAAAATTTGAAAATTTATTTGGTTGTATATTTTGAAATTAGTTTTGTAGGTTTGTAGTTTGGAATGATTTGAAATTTTTTTATAGTTGAATAGATGGGTGTGAAAGAAAAAGTAGTTGATTGATGTGTAGGATGTGAGAGAAGAGAATATGAGATAGAAAAAGTGATTGAAAACAATTTTGGAAAAATTGTAAACCAAACAAATTTTGGGTTTTGGGCTCTCAAAAATTGTTTTCAAAGCTAAACCAAACAAGGCATATTTTCTATATTTTTTAACAGAAAATTGAGAAAATATAAAAAAATAAACTTTTACAAGCTGAACAACAAAAAGAGCATAGTATTCAAAGTCACAACTACATGCCTGTAGTAGAGTCAGGGTAAAAATAAAATAAAAATGAGAATGAAATTCATCCATTTAGAGGTATATAGATAAAAAAAGGAAAAAGAAATATTTGAAAGGAAAAGAAAAAGGAATGAACGTAAAAACATTGTTGTGTGTTGATACAGGTGAAAAATAGAAGAGCTGATGTGGAGATGTAGTTGAAGCCACAAAATGATCAATTTGAGTTGACTAGACCATAGTAGCAAGAAACTCTTAATTTGGTAATGCTTCTTAAGAAACACAATTCCACGCTTTCAAATAAGAAACTAGCAAGAAACTCGTTCATTTTTAGGAATAAACTTGCTTTCAACTGAGATAGAATCTCTCAAGCATATAAATCTTAAAGAAATAAAAGAAAAATAACTCAAACTTATTATAGTACTTTATATTTACATAATTTTTATTTATACTTAATAAAGACAATTTGTAGTTGATATCAATCTCCAACAAAAATTCATATTTTAACAAATATATTACAACTAACTAAATAGAAAAAAATAATTTTTAGAATATAATTATATATTTAATAATTTAATATATAAAATATATACATGCTCCAATATAGGTATGACAGATTTTGTGTTTGCTTGTTTGTAAGTTGAAAAGTTGTTTGATAAAAATTTAAATGTTAAACTAAAAAAAATTATTTGATAGGTATAAGATCAAATTTAAAATTTAAAATTCAAAATTCAAAGTTTAAATTTAAAATTTATTATTTTTAATTCTACTTTTTTAATTTTTATATTGTGATGGGAGAGGATGCAAATATAAATAAATCCACATTTGTGATAAAAATCTGAAATTGGTAATGAGAATACAAATAAATAAATAAAAATGGTAGGACAGATTTTGTGTTTGTTTGTTTGTACCTTGCAGGTGGCTGCTTATACTACGACATCTACTCGAGGAATGTATTGGATGATGGGCCAATATTGTTTCCCCTTTTCACACTTCTGTTTCAGTATTGGATTACATCCCCTGATGTCCAGTGACAAAAGCGAGGGAGGGAATCCTTATTCTGGAAAGGTCGCAAGCTCAGGGCACCTATAGATCAGTAGATGCAAAAGAGAGGGGGGCAACCCTTCCTTTGGAAAGGACGCGAGCCTAGGGCAACAACAGATTTCAAGTGTTTCAAGAGAGGTGAGGTTTTGAAACTCCTCATAAGAGAGTCTTTCCAGATTTGGGAAGTTGTTGATTCTCAAAGAGATGAGAGAGGTGGGCAGGAACATCCCTTCTTCTGGAAAGGACACCGTATCTCCCCACGGCCAACCTCCGCCACCAAGTCTGAGTGTTGTAAGAGAAGAGAGTTTGTGCAAACCCCACTCTAATGGAGATGGAGGCGGAACTGGAAGTTGACCGACGAAATCCCCGATTTCAAGGGAAGTGATGTTGGTGGGGAAACTCCCTTCCTTGACAAAGTTTCCTGCTCTGCAATCAACTAAATACAGCTCTTGAAGCGAAGTGAGTTGGTTGTTGTTGTTCTCATCACGACCACCAAGTGACAGGGGCTCCAGATTATAACAATCGTCTATCAGCAATTGACTGAGATTCTTGAGATTATTGGCTTCAGGTAAAGATTTGATCCCTTCGTCTGCAAAAAGTGACTCCAGATTTTTACACTCCCGAATCCGAAGTAGTTTTAGTGTGGATGGTAGCCCACCTCTTGACAATAAATATGTGAGTGATGCACAGCGAACAACCCACAACTCTTGCAGATTATTGAGTGTCATCAACTCGGGTAGGGACTCCAAAGCATCACACCCTGAAACCCCAAGTTCTCTCAGCATAGATGGCAAACCTTTCATTGGAAAAGAGATCAGACTTGCACAATAGCGGATTCTAAGCACCCCAAGAGATGTGTATGTGTGCAGATCTTGTGGCAGTTTCTTCAGCATTCCACACTTTTCAATTGTTAAATATTCGAGTCTCGTCATGCAAGGCAGCCCCTCATGTTGCTGCTTTTTCAAACCTTCTCCTCCATTTTCTTGCTCTTCTTCAAACAAGCAAACGAGTTTGGGGCAACAAGAAATCTTTAAATGGCAGAGGGAAGGGAGACATACTTGTATTCCCACCTTATTCTGCCACAATGTTATGAGTTCTTCGCAGTTAACAATGTCCAATTTCTCGAGTCCCATCAAATCTCGAGTAAACCATGTCGGTAGGAACGCCAATTTTTCAACACGAAAAATGCTCAAAGCAGTTATTGAAGCCAAATGCTTGGACATTTCAGTAGCCAGTAACTCTTCGTCAATTGTGCTTGGATCGCAGAGGGAGTCGGGAACTGTAACATGGCTAATATCCAAGGTGAGGGAACCGAGTTCAATCGTGTCCTTCGTTCGTAAGAGTGCTGGAAGGCTTGGGAGCATAACATTATTCATTGACAAGGATGCAAGTGATGGCTGAACGAGGCTCGAAACATCAATCAACAACTGCGGACAACCATCAATTTTGAGAGAATTGAGACAAGGAAGACCATTTGGTAATCTTCCAACAAGTTTGGGACAATTTACGATGGAAAGCTCACTGAGATGACTGAACGGCTGAACTCCCTCTGTTTCAAAAGCAGACCAATCCTCCCATTCTGTCATAAACTCAAAGCTCAGTCTCTCTAGAGAGGGGAAAGGTTTGGCACCACACTGCTGCCCATAGAACTCACAACCTAGGCGCTTTATTATACTCATTCCTTCAATGTAAAGGTCTTTAAGCACGGGTAGTTGTCCAAGTGGTGGCAAAGATGTGCAATATTTACTACCTTTTAATCGCATGAATACCATTTTAGAGAATGAAACATCTCCAACCCAGTTTGGAAATTTTGTACTACCATACCCTCCGATGGTGAGTTGTTCCAAAAATTTGGAAGGCTTCATCATGTCAAGTACATCCTTATCAACCATGTCATTCTGTGAACTATGATATTTATCCCATTCTAGTGATAACTCTTTTAACTTCTCCTTAGACATTAAATTGGCATCTATTGCATCCGTAACACCATTGACATTCTGCATTCTTGATATGTGTATTGCCCCTCGAATGTGTGATAGGTTTTTCAACTCTCCTATTTTACGCCCACGATCTTTACCCACCATAAAAAGATTAGTTAATTTACCTATATGTAGCGACATCTTTTCTGATGATAGAATATCCACACCAGTCATGTCAAAATGGCGCAAGTTCACTAGCCTCCCCATGTTTAGAGGCAACTTCTCAAGTTTAACACAAAATTTCAAAAACAAGACTTGTAAATTGTAGAGAGTTACCACCGAATCGGGTAACTTCTTAATTCGAGAATGGGATACATCAAGGTACCGTAGATGCTTTAGATCTCCAATGATATCTGGTAGTTCATCTATCCCAGAATAACACAAGCGCAACTCACGTAAGCACTTTAACATTGGCAACAAATCATGAATCAAGTACCTTGTTGTGTAGTTGAATGCACTCGCCGAAAACCTTAAGAAGGTTCGTAAGCATCTGGCATCATCGAAAGCTTTGAATTTTCTGATTCCTTCATATTCACTACCAACATAAGATGAATGTCGAGCTTTGCCTGAAATCTTGTTCTGCTTGCCACCCTCTAAATTATTCTCCAACCTAAAACAGATGTCCCCTGCAACTGCTTGAGCCAAATCATTGATGAGGTCATGCATTATGAATAGCAATTCATCATGCCTTGACAATTGGAAAAATGACCTAGACACCAATTCGTGAAAATATCTGCGGCCAACATCTTCTATTTGTTCTCCATTTTCTGGGTGTTCAATTAAACCTTCTGCCATCCATAACAAGACTAATTCATCCTCCCCAAATTCGTAATCCTTTGGGACAATTGCACAATAACCAAAGCACCTCTTCAAATGGGAAGGGAGATGATGATAGCTCAATTTCAGTGATGGGAGAATGTGGCTTCCCTCGTATGATTTATCCCATATATTGCTAGTTAGTACCATTTTCCATTTATGCTCCTTTTGGTCACGTAATAAGCCACCGAGGGCCCTTGCTGCCAGTGGCAAGCCTCCGCACTTAGCAACAATTTGCCTACCAATTGATTCCAATTCTGGATGTTCACTAATATTTATATTCTTGAATGCATGTTGGGCAAAGATTGACCAGCAATCATCAGGTGATAACTCTTTCAAATCGTGGTGTTCAGTTGTACCCACCTGTTGCGCAACAGTCGTGATTCGTGTTGTCACAATGATTTTACTTCCATGTGCTCCGGCTCGAAGAAACGGAGATTGTAGTAAACTCCACTCTTCATATCTATGGTTCCACACATCATCTAGGACAAGCAAAAACTTTTTTCCTGTCAGTGTGTCCTCAAGTTCACGTTGAAGGGCACTTAACTCTGTCAAATTGCATGGAGCGCGAGTGAATGACTCCAGAATTGCCTTTGTTATTCTCTTAACGTCAAACTCGTCAGATACACAAACCCACGCTTTCGGATCGAAATGGTTTTTGACACCATTATCATCCCAAATGAGTTGAGCCAGAGTAGTCTTGCCAATCCCACCCATGCCCACGATGGGAATGACATCGACTCTGTTTTGAGTTGCTGCATCTGTGAGAAGCAATTCAATAATCTTGTTTTTCTTTTCTTCTCTGCCATAAACACAAGGCTCTGTCACCGAATATGTAATTTCTGTTCTCTGCCACACATTTGTAGACTTCATCCCCCCAATAGCCTTTTGAACCAAACCAAGTTCCTTAATTCTTGTAGTAACATCTTGTAACCGACCATCGATCTCCTTCAACTTGGACTCAATTGCGAAATTGAATGAAATCGTACTTGGAGTAAAACCAGTGCAACAAGTAGGAAGGAGGAATCGGCGTACCTTCCTACTTGTGCTGGCCTCACCAACATCAGCATCAGTCTCTGCCCTGATCAGCTTCTTGCGTAGAGCTTCAGTGGCAAACTCGTCCAGCACATCGTCCGCATCGTAAGCCAAATGCTGGAGCTCTTTCAGCCACCTATTGACAGCCCTGTTGGATATCTGCTTCTCCTCTGCATCAGCAAGTACATCGTTTATATCTTCAAATGACTTCTTCAGCTTCTTGATGAAAGTGTCGACACCCTCACGACGCGCCAAGTTGATTAAATCAGAGAACAACAACTTGTCAATCACAGCTTGAAGCAATGGAGAGATAAAGATCCCCACCACATCCATGTCTACTCTTCTTTGTTGTGAAAGAGCCCAGGAAGAAATGTATGAAACAAAGCAATATGAGCAGTTTGTGACTCTGCAAGTTTCTGTTTCAAACAAGTTTGGATGAAGAACATGATTTTGGATGGTTCTCTCTGTTCTCTAGCAAACAAACAGGGAATAAAGCAGATAGGGCCCTCCCTCTCTACTGTTGAAATCATAATCATACAGAAATCAATCTCATTCTCAATGCTGTTAAAAAAAAAAAAAGTCTCATTCTCAATGGCCCATTTTGCACTCGAGTTTGTTTGCTACTTTTTTTACTCATTTCCTTACTTGAGTGGCAGCCAGCTAGCACGACTTTAAAAGAAAAGTTTGATAGAAAATAAAAACACTTTTTTTCTACAACTCCGTAATTGTTATTGCTAAATTATAATGAGAAAATTATAGATTATAATTGAAAAAAATTATTATAAATTTATATTTTTAATTATTCATATTTATAAGATTTGTTTCGTATTTGTAATTATTTTTTAAAATTATTCCTGAATTAAAATTTCTCCAATATAACAACTTTGTTAGAGCATCTTTAACTCACCATTTACATCTTTATATACGAAGGATTTTTACTTCCAACTCATCCAATCATCTCCATTTGGGAGGAGAGCATGGATTGATTCTCCAAATATAGAGAGATGATAAGAAATAGAGTATCTTTATAGAGTGGTACTATTAACACTCCATGAATTATTTTAAACCTCTATTTCTTTAGACTTCTATATATAAATTTTGAAACCCTTAAAATTTCTTTTCCCTTCCAAATAATACCAAAATTATCTTTAAACAGTCCACCCATTAAATACATACCCTCCACACCCCCCAAAAAATAAGTTCTTTTAAATTTGGATTTTGTGGTGGTTTTTCTCATCTGCTATTGTGTGGATTTTTTTTTCTCTTCTTCTTTTCTTTTCCAAAACTTGGTCTAGCATTTGACAATTTCTTCATGTTGTTTTTGTCATTCAAAATCAAAACTTATTTATTTATTTAATCTTTTTTAAAAGAGAGTTCGTCGACCTTTTGTGAATTTTTAGTACATGCAATTTAGAAGAGAATTGAAATGTTTTTTTAACAATGAAAAGCACCTAAAAAACTCATGGATCAGTGAATAATAAGATTAAATAAATAAATGTGATGCAGATTGATAATATCGTTGTATGAACTAGGGTTTATTTCTGAGGCAACAAAATATGAGGTTTGCTTCAGCATTTCAATA